GAGCGCCGGGCGGCCTCGGCGGGGCCCGGGGCGGAACGTGGCCCGGCCCGGCACAGCGACGGGTCTTCCCCGCCGTTCGGTTCCGCGACAAGCTGCAAGCTTGATATCCTGCACTACATTAACAACTACTTCGGTTTATCCGGGATAGACCTGAAAGTACCTCCACAGTTCTGAGAACATAAACCAAGTACGGAAACACTTGTGCGTTAAGAGCTTTGTTTTTATAGCTCTTTGGTTACATGTAGCATTTATGTTTTCGGTATGTTTTTTGGTGGTGGTGCTTAGTTGGTTGGTTTTTGTTGTTGTTTGCTTTTAAATACATAATATTTAAATCTTTTCCTAATCTTTAAAATCGAGAGGGTTTCCATATGCTTGGAAGGACAGATTAAGAAAAGACTAATATTTTTGTTGGGCAAATATGTCCCATGTTGATGATGTGAGATAATTTCATCCCTGTGCTTTTTTGTTCGTGTTTGTTTGGGGATTTTTTAACTGATAGTGCAGAGAAACACTAAAAACAACTATCTTTTTAATTTTATATTTCACACAAATACCTATAAAACCCATTTATTGTATTTACTATTTGTGATGATTCCAGCAATGCAATGTTAAGGGAATTATCATAGCTATAGTAGAGATATTCCTCTGTAAATCTTTAATTCTGAAATGTATACTCGTGTGAGAAATTGGCCATGCTTGGGTGCAGTTCAGCGTGGGTCTTGTTTGTTTATTTGTCTTCTGGGTGAAAGAAAAAAGTGTCAAGTAGCTACACAACATTCACACATTTTATACTTAAGCAAATATACACACACAAAAAAAACCAACCCACCCCAAACACTGACATACCAGCTTTTTAGTCCACAGATAAGTGGATTTTTAAAGTGTCTCAAACTGAAGAGTTTATGCAGTCCAGAATAAGCAGTACATATCTTTCAGTTTGAACATGCTAAGTCTGGAGAGAAATCCTATTAAAAATTCTACACATTACTTTCCTTTTTAACTAAAGGCATGTGAAAACCCACTCTCAGTGGGTCAGAATCCCCAAACTGCTTGCTCCTTTTGAGGTGCAAGATGCTAGTCCTTCTCCCATTTTAAACTAATCTTACTTCCCTGAATTTCTCAATTAGACAAACTCTCTGGGGCTTCCACGGTCTCTGGATCAGACCTTTTTGTATGCAAGATATCAGAATGTGGCACAGTGCTTCCCAGCCACAGTGGAGTCACTCTACATGTATGCTACTGTAAGTGGGAGCAAAAGCTGGTTCAGTGCTTACACTGTACAGAGATAGTTAGTCTCATAGCAACAAGGGATTCCAGAAGACTTCCCCTTGGAGAGGACAGAGGTACCTGGCAACGCTGCTTGCTGTACTAAATATGGTTCACAGTAGTTTTTGTGTTTTCTAAATAGCTTTGCACCCTTCAAATAGGGAGGCCTATTCAAAAAGCATCCATCTTCAATCTCTTGACTTGTCACCTGATAAAGATTTATGAAACATTGAAGATATCTCAAGTTACTGGCATAGACTTTTCTGAATAAATTCCACTAACAAAAATTCCCCCTTCCAGCCTATTAAGGCTAAATTTCAGCCTATTAAGATTTGCATCCCCAACTAATGGAATAACACTCGTCAAACATATTCTAGGCTGCTTAGGCCAAGAGAGATTTACAGAAACACCTCACTGTGAATTTTCAGGTTTTTACTGGAGTTCTGACCCCATATGTCTCCTGCAACATAGAGATAAAAGGCTGTAGTCTCAGCCTTCCAGGGAACCGCTCCACAGGAAATTTCCCAGTCATGTTTTAATGTTAAAGGAGAGACGCTCAGCACTTGAAAGCTGATAAAGGACAGTGATGTGTTCGAAGATATTTTCAACACAGAAGACAGTTACAGCCAGGAAAAGTAGCGATGAAGTGAGGAATGTATTATCCTGAGAATCAAGGAGCGAGAGCGAATGTGTATGAGATACAAGTCCTTCTGAGGTCATACAGGAAAGCAGCACAAAACTTCAGAATATAATTTCCAAATATATGTTCTCTTTTGGAAAGAGACTTCATTAGTTCGTTTTACCAAAACCTCAGTATAGTCCTACAAAATCACTAAAACTGGAACTGTGTAGCTAAGACAGCAGCCGTTGCTCAATTCTAGAGATTTAAATATATTATCTATACCCTACATTGAAATCTGTGATAAGATTCTACCAAACTTTAAAAGATTTATTCTTCACTACTGAGATATTTTACAAATATAAACATGCTAAAATTCCTGGAAAACCACCATGATCAAGTTGTTTTCCATACACCTGTTACTAAGGTCCTAGTATTTTCAGTTGTGTTGAATGCCTTTTGAATTTTAGGTTTTTTTATTCCCGTTCTTGTAATAAAACCCAAAATTATGCACGGCCAATAAATATCTGAATGCAGTAGCACAAGAGATGACGTTAGCCCATTTTCAGTAATGAGTTTGGAAACAACTGCTGGCTTTGAATCACAAAGAAATAAGAACTGACAATATCTATTATTAGGTTATCTAGACCAAACCTTTACCATGCCCACTGGATTTCATTTTTGTTACTTTTGAGTTACTCAGGCAATAGTCTGTTACCAGTCACTTCAGTTGATTATTCCAGCCCAGTGGTTCTCTCAGCTGAAATGTTTCTTTTGATGCTAAGTTTAACATTTTATTTTGTTGAAATTCACCCGGTTCATCTTTCACATATGCCTGAAGTGGCATTATAAATCTTTTTCCATTTCGAATCTAACCAAAATAGATGATCTATCGAATCTATAGTAATGAATACAGATGGATATATTTTCACTCATTAGTTTTTGCACCATTTAAGTATTTTTCCCTAGTGTTCTCTGCGTGACAATAGCTGGCTCACATTTCTTTGCTACTGGGCCTGTCACAAG